AGCCCAATATTGGAAGTGAACCAGGCTTGAAGGAAAAAGCAAGAGAATACTGTGCCTTAAGGCAGAGAAAGGGGTAAAGTTTACCTCCCCTAACCAGTGTTCCCTCCAAGCTGAGTTAGTGTGAGCTAGCTCACAGTTTTTTAGCCTCTGGCTCACGCATTTTTGTCTTAGCTCAGGAAGGATGGCTCCAGAACAAACTAATTTATGCAGTAGTTGAATCACTCACTCACAACTTTAATGCCAGTAGCTCACAAAGTAGAAATTTTGCTCACAAGACTCCACAGCTTAGGGGGAACATTGCGGCCCTAACCAGTTTGTTGTATTTAAAACAGAAAAGATTTTCAAACTGCGTTTTACATACGAAGAGGTGAGTGAATATGTGAATAAATACATGTGGATACCCTTGTTAGGTCTAATTTAGCCCTTGCATAGAAATCCCTCTGGAATTTTAAAGGAGGTTTTGATTTAAACAGACTTGTAGGAACTCTCATCGTCTAACACAGAGGAGGATTTTAGAATTCAACAGGATATTTATCTCCTCTTATGGGTATGTGCCATAATTTGTGTCCTAAAAGAACACATAGTTCCAATGCAAACATCGTTTCCATATTTCAACCAGGAGTAATGTCATAATGTCACCAGTGATGCATGGATGTTCAGTTTATTTGGGCAAAAATTCTATGGTAAGTTGGTTTGTTCACTTGGTGGATCATTTTTCTCTTTTTATCATAAAACGTGTATTGCCACTTTGTGAAAGGAATCTTTACCACAGAGTAAAGTGTTATTGTTCATTTCCCTGCCCCCCATAGATGTAGAATGCATTATGTGACACTGTCCCCCCAGTGTAAATACTACAGTTGCCAACCTCCAGGTGAGGCCTGGTGATCTGATATTACAACTGATCTCCGGGCGATACAGATCAGTTCCACTGAGGAAAATGGCTGCTTTGGAGGGTGGACCCCGCTGAAGTCCCCCCCCTCCTCAGACTCCGCCCTCCCCAGGCTGCAACCCCAAATCTCCAAGTATTACCCCACCCGGAGCTGGCAACCCTAGTAAATACTAGTGAGGCAGGATGAGGCTTCGTTCCCTCAGGGGTATCTTAATGTTGTGTGGCAAGTCCCGTGGGCAATGGCTGCAGCAAGGGTTGTGTTTCCTTTGAATAAGAGAGCATTAGAGTCTTATGATGTCTTTGTAATATTTGCTTAACTGAGAAATATGCAAGTAGAGCATGAATGGAACATACCCACATCAGACAGTGGGTCCCTCGAGAACATGTGCACCCTTTCACAAGACGGAGAAGCCTCTGCCAAGCTTTAGCAAGCAAAATGAGACAGCTCTTGTGGCATATCTGCTAAACACCAACTCTGTATCTGACGTCTGTGGTGTGAAGAGCTACAAACACATGGTGCTCTCAGGAGTAAACATTCCCATTAACCCAAGAACTTTATTTTACCTGGGAATGTGAAACCATGTCTACAGGGAAAATGACCAGCTGTTACCCTCTTCTTTTTCTTTATTTGCCTTTCAGTGACCACCCACGGACTTTCAGGAACATTAGCCCTGTTTTGTTTGCAGTGGTCAATGCAACCAAATTTTGCAACATCTTGAGGAGCTTAAAACTGGCCACTTGTTGTTATGCACTTTTTGCTTCTACCTAGCATTGCCTGGTCCCTACAAGGGCTGGGGGGGGGTGTCCCATGCTCTGTAGCCCCTTCCCCTGGCACCGATCAGCTGGCCAGTAGGGGACTCACTGGTAGGAATACAATGCCATCTCTTAAAACGCTACATTCTATGAACTTAGCCAGACTTGCTTTTATTCCTTTTAAATCTTAAATTTAACTGTTCTAAAAAGACCCCCCAGCATCTCAGTATTAAAAACGTTATTATCAAAGACACAATTCAGAGTCCTTCAATCCTCATTTTTTCTTATCCTGGAGATTTGGGGGGGGGGGGAAGCCGCGTGTTGTGGGGAGGGGGAGGGAAAGGAGTTTGTAAACCGCTCTGAGACTCCAAATGAAGGGCGGGGTATAAATCCAATCTCTTCTTCTTCTTCTTCTTCTTGCTGGCAGCATGGCAATGTCACTTCCAGTGCGAACCAGGAGTAATGTCATAATGTCACCAGCGATGCATGGATGTTCTGTTTATTTGGGCAAAAACTCTATGGTAAAAATGACTTCTAACATAGAGTTTTTGCTCAAATACCAGAGCATCTCGATGTCACCAGCAATGCGATGATGTAATTTCTGATGCGCTGGAAGTGACAGCATCACATCGCAGGTGACACCGTCCTAGGCCTAGTTTTCCTGCTGGAAAGCCCCCCCTCCCGACCGTCTCAAGTAGCCAGGGATAGAAGTTCTACCTGACTGATAGATAGGGTTGCCAGATCTTACCTGTCTGCTGGTGGGGGGATCCTGGTGCTCCTCCTGGGTCTTCTACGAACATGCTGCGATGACGTGACATGGAAGTGACATCATTGTGCTCGGCACATTTTACAGGGGATGCTCTGGCCAAACGCATCCCCTGCGTGACGTGCCTGGTGTGCAGCGGGGCTGTTCAGGGCTGGGGCTCCCCTGAAATCGGAGGAACCTCCCCCCCCCATTGGGGGGTTGGCAACCCTTACTGGTAGATCATCTGTGATGTCACAGTGCAGCTACAAACTCTAATTCAGCTATGGAATGCTGACAATTGCTATAACTTACCAACATTCCAAATACTATAGCAGCACTTAAATTATACTTGCCGGAACCTCCAGGCGTTTCTCTGATGTTTTGGGGTACAGAGCAGAGGCATAGAGGCCTTCTGTGGTGGTGTAGTGTAAAGAGGTCAACACTCCATATTGGTGCGAGCAGCCTCTGTGTGTGAATAGCCTGTTCTGCAACATCAGGGAAACCTTCCAAACTTGCAATAGAACCCATCAGAATCTAGTTTTGTTTCCCGTTACTTTTGTGCAGAACCACCCATTTACCACTAAACTGCTGCTTCTGGGAAGAATTCAGCAGCCCCCACATCTATGAGTGATCTGTAAAATTTTAAATCAGCAGTGGCACACTCCTGTCTCTGATGGGTTTTTTTTAGAAACGGTTACTTTGTTAGCATGTGCTGTTTCATGCCTAGGACAGTTCATATCTTCCTGATCTCTCCCTCTTTCAGTTTAAAGTGTCCATTAAAGTGTCCACTTGGTAGCTCTTAGCAAACAACTAAGAGCATCCAAAATTCAACATCTGAAAGCAGCTCAGCAGGTTAATGTATACTGTGGTGTGCTGCAAAGAGATTGCCATCTGCTGGATGTTCTGTCTAGTTGAAGGCAGCACTGAGTAACAGCACACTAGCAACATAAGTAAGAAGAACACTATTTTGATTAGGTGTCGTTAATCCCTGCCATGAATTGGCCCTTTCACAAGACGGAGAAGCCTCTGCCAAGCTTTAGCAAGCAAAATGAGACAGCTCTTGTGGCATATCTGCTAAACCCCAACTCTGTATCTGACGTCTGTTGAAGAGCTACAAATACATGGTGCTCTCAGAAGTAAACATTCCCATTAACCCAACAACGTTATTTTACCTGGGAATGTGAAACCATGTTCACAGGGGAAATGACCAGCTGTTACCCTCTTCTTTTTACATAGTGACACTTCTGCCTTTGTATTTCGTAGAGCAACTTTTTCCACTGGGCATTTTTCTCTGCTTTGGTTTGTGGAAGGGGATTTCTTCTCTTTATCCTGTAAAGCATATAGAGTTGCCAATCCCCCCCCCCACTCCAGAGCAGTACCCCACCATTTTTGGCACTCTTCCCTCATACACAACGTTCTGTCATTTATATATATATTTGAAAGCTGTGTCCTTCCTTCGCTTCAGTGAGAAAGCATGTTTCCTTTCACAGCTAGAGCTGTTTCTTCATTTTCATAGTGTAGGGCCTGGATATCATACCTAGGGTTGCCATCTACAGGTTGGGAAATTCCTGGAGATTTGGGGGGGGGGGAGCCTGGGCAGGGCAGGGTTTGGAGAGGGAAGGGCGCTCTGTAGGATATAAATGCCATAGAGTCCACCCTCCAAAACAGTCATTTTTTCCAGGAAGTGATCTCTGTCGGCTGGTGATCAGTTGTAATTCTAGGCCTCACCTGGCTGTCGGCAACGTACCCCTGATGCAGGATCGGCTCTAGTATGATTATACCACTGAGAGAGAAATGTAGGGTTTTATACACTTCCTGTGCAGCAGCTCCTGGTACAAAAGAGGGGCAGAAGCCATTTAGTTTACAAAGCGTTCCTATAAAAATAAAATGGATATTGCCAAACTTCTGTCACACATCAGAATTCCATCACCAAGACACGGAACCCAGAAAGGATCGGGCTTGATTCAATGACGGGAGTTACCAGAGGTTACAAGCAGGATTAGTCCCACCCCAAAGACTGTCCAGTCTCCCGTATGAGAGAATGGCAATCATTGACTCATACGAAGAAAAGTAAATCAGTGCATTTGGGAACAGTGCTGCAGTAGAGGATCCTCTGCTTCCAAACTGGGTGGCCTGGCCTTTACTGATAGGGATCACACCCTGGGAACATCAGAAGCGGGCCAAAGAAACGGGCACAGAAGGCCAAGGCCCTCTTCTGATGTTGCCTCCTACTGCTGGTTTATAGGGGTTTACTGCCTCTGAATGAGGAGGTTCCCTTAACTCACCATGGTTAGTAACCTCCCCTATCTCAGGGTTGTTTTGAGGGGGAAATGGAGAATGGAGAGCCATGTGAGCTGCCAGGAGCTCATTGGAGGAAGAGTAGAAGAAAACTGTGCTAGAAAAGTAGTCCTACTCATGGGTCTCCTTGTGCGCCCAGTGGGGTTTCAGTGATGTCTGGACATGTTTAGAGATGCACAACAAAATGGCTTAGTTGATTTCAGTGTTTCCCTTTTGAAATAAATTCACTTCACATCATTCTTTTTTCTCTACAGGTAAATAGTGTGACCATTGTCTGTACTGACCTTTAAGTTTTCTCTTTTTCTACATTTGCAGCTCAATGCAATGGCAAACAGAGCAGCTGGGAAGGGCTACGAAAATGAAGACAATTACTCCAACATCAAGTTTCAGTTCATCGGCATTGAGAATATCCATGTCATGAGGAGCAGTCTCCAAAAAATGCTAGAAGGTATAGCCTTCATGTGTTCAGGGCAGCTACATGCCAGATGTTGAGGGCCGCATTGCACCACCTGTGCTTCTTGGTGGGCTTAGAAATGCACAAGAAATATTGTGAATGTGTGGGTTTTGTACTGTTAATGTCTACAATGAAATATTAAAGTAGTGGTGCTAAAAGCACACTTAGATGGAACTGGTTCCTTGAAGTAGATAATGGTCTGATTGAAGACAAAATGGCCAGTACCGTAATGCCCCTGCATAGATCCATGAAGCGGACTCGTTTGGAATACTATGCACAGTTCTGGTCACCCTATCTCAAAAAGGACATTGCAGAGCTGGGAAAAGTGCAGAGGAGGGCAACCAAGATGATTAGGGGCAGGGCTATTTTTGGGCAGGAACGCACAGGAACGGAGTTCCGGCTGGCTCCCAAGTTGGCCACACCCAGCAGGAACTCATTAGCATAATAGGCCACACCCAACAGCAGGAACTCATTAGGATTGGCTACATTAGGGGTGTGTGGCCTAACATGCAACGGGTTCCTGCTACAAAAAGAGCCCTGGGTGTTGACAACAAACAAGGTGAACAGAATAAGAAGCAAAAGGTGGGTGTGGCTGGATGAGCACACTTCTGGTAACGTGGGGTGTGTGGCCTAATATGCTAATGAGCTGCTCTATCAGGGGTGTGGCCTAGTAGGCTAATGTGTTTCTGCTGTTGGGTGTGGCCTATTATGCTAATGAGTTCCTGCCGGGCTTTTTCTGCCAAAAAAAGCCCTGGTTAGGGGTTTGGAGCACCTTGCCTATGAGGAAAGGCTGAAGAGCCTGGGACTTTTCAGTTTAGATGACTAAAGGGGGACATGATAAAGATTTATAAAATTATGCATGGGGTGGAGAGAGTTGACCAAGAGAAATGTTTCTCCCTCTCCCCAAATACTAGAACTCGAGGGCATCCAATGAAGCTGATGGGGCAGTAGGTTCAGAATGGACAAAAGGAAATACTGCTTTACCCCAAGAGTGATTAAAATGTGGAATTCACTGCCAGAGGGTGTAGTGATGGCCACAGAAATAAAACAGCTTTAAAAGGGAATTCATAGAGGATTACGTCTATCCATGGCTACTAGCCATGGTGACTGAGGGGAGCCTCCACATTCAGAGGCAGTGATCCTCTGAATCCCAGAGCCAGGAGGCAACATCAGGGGAAGGCCTGGGCCTCTGGGCCCTGTTGCTGGCCATCCAGAGGAACTGGTTGGCCACTGTGTGAGGCAGGATGCTGGACCCGATGGACTGTTCATCTGATCCAGCAGGGCTCTTCTCTTCTTTTGTTCTGCTTTAAATGCAGTCAGGCTATTGATCCAGCTAGCCCAGCATGATCTACTCGAAGTGGCAGTAGCTATCCAAGGACTCAGAGGTCTTTGGCAGTCCTGCTAGCTGAGAACCTTAACTAGAGAATGGGAGTGGGCTGGGAAGTGGAAACGGCCCTGGAGCAAGTTGAGCTCAGCAGCCCTGTTAGTGCTTCAAGCCAGCACTTCTGGAGCCACTCTGCTCTGTGGGACCAACGATGTGCAGGAGGCGACGATTGTTGAGCTGATGTGGGTTATCGTTGCCACTGAAGAGATCTTAGCCAAGTAGCACCTGAAGCATTGGCAGAGTTGCTGGGGCTTGGCTTTACTTGCTCCTGGGTACCACTAGGGCAGTGGCCAACTGGGAAATTTCCCTGTACGTGAAATGGTCAGTCTATTTCTGCTGGAGATTCCAGAGACTGGACTAGGGCCTTCCTGTCCATGAGGGCATGTAAGTTCGGCTCATGAGCTATGGTTTGTCTCTAATGTTGACATTGGCATGGCCTAATCTCCATGCCATGGGTGGGACCACAGGGACCTGTTCTGCTAAGGGTGGCGCCTTCTTCTGATGCAGGTTGCAGGAGGAAGGCTTCGCCATTGACAGATCTGTAGGATCCAATCCATCGTGTAAAGTACTGAAGTAGCGAAAGTGTCATCGAGTCACAGCTGACTTAGGGTGATTCTGTGGCATTTTCAAGGCAAGAGACTTCCAGAGGTGGTTTGCCTTTGCCTGCCTCTGCGTAGCCACCCTGGACTTCCTTGGTGGTCTCCCATCTGAGTACTTAACATGCACTGAAACCTATTGAGTGGCCTTGGGTAGTAAATTTTCCCAGTGTAATCTACTTTACAGGGTTGTTGTGAGGATAAAATGAGTTTAATCCGTACGTGACACACTTCCCCTGAGCTCTGTGGAGGAAGGATAAGAACATAAGAGAAGCCAATGTTGGATCAGGCCAATGGCCCATCCAATCCAACACTCTGTCACACAGTGGCCAAAAATACCATGTGCCATCAGGAGGTCCAGCAGTGGGGCCAAGACACTAGAAGCCCTCCCACTGTTGACACCCCCCCTCGCACACCGCATACAGAGCATCACTGTCCGGCAGTGGGGCCGGGACACTAGAAGCCCTCCCACTGTTCCCCTCCCCAAGCACCAAGAATACAGAGCATCCCTTGCCCCAGACCAAGCGTTCCTATAGAACATAAGAGAAGCCAATGTTGGATCAGGCCAGTGGACCATCTGGGTCACACACAGTGGCCAGAAATACCAGGTGCCCTCAGGAGGTCCAGCAGTGTGGGGCCAGGACAATAAGACCTCCCACTGTTGTCCCCCCCCCCAGCACCAAGAATACAGAGCATCACTTGCCCCAGACCGAGAGTTCCTACCTATACCTTGTGGCTAATAGCCTGAGAGTTCCTATCTACATACAAATGTGAACAAATAAAAATCAGACCATTAATTTACCTCTTTTACTGGTATTTTTTTGCTCATGGGGCCAGATACCTATCAATGTGCTTTTCATTTTCTTCCACACCACGGCTCCTCTCCTGGAAAGCGAAATAAGGTCATTTTGACAGTTGCTGAGTTTACAAGAAATTTGAGCTCCCCCCCCTCCCTGGATGCACAGCAGCAGTTTCCCTGTGCTTAAGGCCAGATGTGTCCCAAATTCTCTAGTCTGCAGATCCTTTTTATAGATTAAAGTGTTTCAGGGTTATTCCACCCCCCCACCCCCCTGGCTGATATGCAGATATGGAGGCACCCGTGGGATCTAATGGAGCTTTTTGCTTACTGAGTTCCTACCTAAATGAATTCCCAGTTGAACTCCCGTCACTTTGCCTGTACGTAGCCTTGGCCTGTAATTTAGGACAGTGGGGGACTTTGCTCAGTAAAGTGGAGAGCAAATATTGATTGTGATTGAGGAACAGGGCTTTGGTTTTCCCCCTGCACTTTGCAAACAAGAGGCAGCAGTTTTCAGATCGAATGCGGCTGCTAATTGCACACTCTGCCATCTGCACAGGTGCATTAATCATTCGAGGGGCTTACTTGCTGTCAGTGCCCATCGTGAAGACGCTTTTGAGAGATGCCATCCTGAAAGCAGTCTCTTTGTGATAAAGTGCGGCGAGAAAGATCAGGTCAATCGGCCTCTCATTTAAGGGAAGGCAGAGGAGCCAGAAAACCAAACACAGGTGTCTGCTGCGAATGGTGTGGAGCACTCGCCTGCAGAAAGCTCGAAAATATATTTATGCATGTATGTTTATCCCTTCTGATAGAGCTTTTAAGATTTTTCAAGCCCTGCTGGTAGTGACTTTAGATCAGTTTACTGGATGTAAAATCACTTTTCCCCCAGCGGGTTACATTTGCGGTACAAGAAAATGAGACTTCACTGCATCAGACGCATTGGCTGGGAGCACTTCATCTGGATCTTGCTCGGCACCTTACCTAGCACACACAAACCCTCATTAGGATAGATTTCAGAGTCTTGGGTTTTGATGCAGGACATTTGGGTTTGGAGCACTCATCCAGTCAGTCAATAAGCCAGAGTTGGTAAATGACACTGCTGAAAAACACCAGGAAAGTTTAACAGCTTGATTCTAATATTATGGAAGAAAAGACTTCGTCATACGTCCCTTAATTATTAGACTGGCATATTATGGAAGAAAAGACTTCGTCATACGCCTCTTAATTATTAGACTGGCAAAAAAAAAAGAGTAAAGTACATGTTGTATGCCTGTGTGTGTAAGGAAGCTCTATTTTTTTAAAGAAGAAAAGCAGCCTTGAAAGGCTGCAACTTTGAAGAGAGAAGCAATGTGGGAGGGAGGGATAATTAACCCTTTTTCTGCTGGCCATTTTTCTGCTCAAAATCAGTCCTACGCAGCTGCCCTCGCCCACCCCATCGGAGCTCCAGATCTCAGATCCTGCCATGGGGAAAGGTGAGTGGGCAGGGATTTGAAGGGGTAAAGAGTTAAGAGCTCCCCCACTGTGCCACTCATCCGTTTAAAATAGCAGTCTGCTAAGGCTGTATTTCATTTAAGGGGGGGAAATCAAAGCTTTGATTATACACATATGCAGGGCTTTTTTTTGTAGAAAAAGCCCAGCAGGAACTCATTAGCATAAGAGGCCACACCCTGACAGCATAGATAATTAGCATATTAGGCCACACCCCATGCCAACTGCGGGGAGCCCGGGCAAGCCGGCCCTTGGAGGGTAGGAAAGGCAGTTTAAACTTCTAGGCCCCCCCTGGCCCGCCCACCTCGGAGTCGCCGGGAGGGGGTCACTCTCCAGGCCTTCCCTCTGTAGTAGCCACGCACGCAGAGGTTTTGGCTGTAGTGGGCGTGGCCAACTCTGAAGCCAGCCGGAACTCCGTTCCTGTGCGTTCCTGCCCCAAAATAGCCCTGCACATATGCATGTAATGCATGTAAATTGTAGTTTGCCTTTGTGAGCTGACTCCATGTAACAGTGTTGACTTTCCAGTGATGTGAGGGGATGTGAAAGCTCTTGTCTACAGAATTTTCTGTCTCTGTCCATGGTTTCCCATTCACATTTGTAGGTCTTCATTTGGCAATCAAGTAATGTACATGCTTATGCAAACCAGTCTCTGGTTCCTTAGAAATATTTGGGATATTTCCAGATATTGTATTTTAGGACTGGGGGTGAATGTTGGAACTGACAGTGTAAAACCAAGGGATACAAATGTTTGATTGTGTATTGAAACTGTGACTGATTTTACAGTTTGTGAGTTGAGATCTCCTTCAATGAATGACTTCCTCTGGGGACTGGAGAATTCAGGCTGGCTAAAGCACATCAAAGCCATCATGGACGCTGGCATCTTCATTGCAAAGGTATAGAACTTCTTGGGAGACTGGGAACAAGCTGACTCAGGAACCAGAATATCTGGCTGATTGCTGTTGCCTGAAGAAATAAATGTGCCCCCCAAATGTGTTACGTTTCAGTGCTTCAGAAGTTGACCGTGTATTTCAGTGACAGCTAGGGTTGCCAAGTCGCGGCGGGGGATTGTATGTCTTCACAGAATCCGTGCCGCGGGGACAGCGAGACACGTTGCACCCGCCGTCGCCAGGATGTGACGCTACGCGTCGCTCTGGCAACGGGGCTCCAAACAGCCCTGTTGCCAGAGCGACACCCTGCGGCACACATTCTGCGAAGACATGTGGATCCCCTGCCGTGATTTTGCGAGATTTGGTAAGCCTAGTGACAGCAGATACAATGTAGAACAGTGTTAACTCAGGCAGTTGTGGGTTTAGGGCCACCTGTTTCATCCTAATCCAGTTTGTTAGGATCCAGTAGTGGTTAGGAGCATGGACTCTAATATGGGAGAACCGGGTTTGATTCCCCACTCTTCCACATGCAGCTGCTGGTGTGACCTTGGGTCAGTCACAAGTTATTTCAGAACTCTCAAGAGCAGTTCTCTCAGACCTCTCTCAGCCCCACCTATCTCACAGGGTGTCTGTTGTGGGGAGGGGAAGGGAAAGGAGATTGTAAGCCACTCTGAGACTCCTTCAGATAGTGAAGGGTGGGGTATAAATCCAATCTCTTCTTCTTCTCCTTCTTCCTCCTCCTCCCCCCCACTCCCCTGGAGTGATCACTTGGCATTAGAGTTTGCTAGTTGTTTTGTCTATTGACACCTCCATGCCTGACTACCAGGCTTCTACATGGTATGTGAGTGCACACACATCATCAAAGGGAAAAATGGTAGTCAGAACTGGAGCCCTGGCAACCATTCCAAGGAGCAGAGAAAATGACAAGCCAGTTGTTGGGAGGGAAGACAGAGAATCAGTGGGCAAGGAGGAGGACGTTTTCAGGTATGTCTGCAGGCTGCCTGCTAAATAACGGCTTGTAGATCCATTTCTGGTCTGTCGTGGCATCAGCCTGCTTTTTCAGCACTCGTGTGAATGCTTCCAGTGAGCCAGTAAGAAATGGATTGTGTCATTTGAGTGCTACCACTGCCCCCTGCCAGAACTGAGCTAGATCTTTGGTAAAGCCGGCTGTATCCCTACACCGTGGCTGGGCACTTTGCTCACCCAGGCCATGGAAGTGGCGGAGTTTGGCTAAAGTTCTGGATACCTGGGGAACTTCCTGGAGGCAGACACAGAATGGCCGAGGCCTTAAGTGGCCCTTTGCTGCCCAGTGAGGAGCAAGACTAAACAGGATGTCATAGCCGCACCTTATGGGTAATGTTGGTGAAATGAAAGATAAGGACAGCCTGAAGTGTCAGGATCTCTATGGGGCAAACCTGGTACACTTGAAATATAATCTGTATGTGACGGAATGGACCCTGCAGAAAATGATGTGTGCGCGCACCTGTCAGTAGTTATTACCAGGGGTCATTTTGTAGAAAAAGAGGTGCAGGAGCTCATTAGCATAACTTATTTGCATATGCCACACCCCCTGACACCAGCAGAAGTGTGTCAGAAGGCCACACCCACCGCTCAGGCTCCACTGGACTGTTGGATTGCTAGCTATTGGGGGGGCATGCAGATCTGCCCTCGCAGAGGAGGGAGAGCTTGTACCTGAATAAAACTTGGTCTTAAAGGTGCCACTGGACTGTTTTGGGCCGGGGGGGGGGGGCCTCTGCAGTTTACCTGGCTGCTTCTTGCTCTGACTGAGGGCTGCTGGGAGCAGGGGGTGGGGCTTGTTGCATGTGCCCACCCCCTGGGCTCTTTATTGCCGGAGCTCCGCTCCTGTGCACTCCTGCAGGAAATGACCCCTGGTTATTACCTGGACTGAATATGGAAGGCCTTGCATATGGGTCCTCCCCATTCACCCAGTGGAAAGTCAAGTCTTGATTGAATACCATGTTCATGTATTTCTGGAACCTGCCGTCTGCCCTCGGGAAGATGGTTCAGATGTAGATGAACGTGGCACTGGCTGGCTGGATCAGATGGTATACGCAGAAGAGGGCAGAGAGGGCAGCTCTCCCCCCACTCTCATATCAGGTTCAGGAATTTAATATCTGACCCTGTTGACTGAAACATTCTGTGTACTGAAAGTTTTTGCACCTGCTGGGTGAGCTGCTCTCTGTAATTTTTATTTCATAAAGGGAACCGACTGCTCGGTGTGTTATCTGTGTATCATCCCTTCCTCTCTGTTTTAGGCCGTAGCGGAAGAAGGAGTGAGTGTTCTCGTTCACTGTTCTGATGGATGGGACCGGACCTCTCAGGTTTGCTCTATCGCAAGCCTTTTGCTTGATCCGTTTTATAGAACTATGAAGGGATTTATGGTAAGCAGATCTGCCGTACAGGGAAACGGGTTTCAGAAAGTGGTGCGCCCTGTAGTTGCAAAGTGTTAATTAATAGAAGAGTCTCCCACAAAATGAAACCATTTTTACGGGTGTAACTCTCTTGTGGCTCGGTTGTATGTGTTTTTGTGCCAGGCGGACAATTGTTAAAGCACTGGTGAAGAGCCGACAAGGTGGAGCCAAGGGCATTATCAGTTCCCGATTCCCTTTATTTATTTAACGTGTATCCCGCCCTACCCTACGAATGGGCTCAGGGCGGCTCACAACATAGTAAAAACAATAAAAACCAAGATATAAAAATAATTAATTAAGCAATTAAAACAAGATGGCATTAAATATGAGGAACCCAGCGTCTCCTTTGACATTTAAACAGGTGATGTTAGATGACCTGCTTTATAAGTTTTTGATCAGATGGTGGGAGGTACCTAAAATATAGTGCGCCATAGATGATAAACCGTGTCTAGGAGGCACTGGGCGGGTACCAAAAGCAGGGAAGGTCGCCTCACCCAAAGGCCTGGTGGAACAGCTCCATTTTATAGGCCCTGCTAGGGTTGCCAAGTCTCACCTTGTTCTGGAGCGGGGGACTCCCGGGTTGAAACACGCGCACTGCATCCACGTCACCAGGAAGTGACGTGACCACGCTGGGCACGCTGGGGGCGGGGCCACGACCATCCGAGGGAAAACCAGAGTTTCCCTCGGACGACTGTGGCCCCGCCCCCAGCGTGCCCGGCGTGGTCGTGTCACTTCCTGGTGATGTGCACGTCGGGGTGGAGTTCCCTCCGGGGCCCGATCTGGCGGCGGCGGGGAACGGGCCTCTGGGGCAAGGGTTTCCCCGCCGCCCGGGGGGACTTGGCAAGCCTAGGCCCTGCGCAACCGTAATAGCTCTTGCAGGGTCCTGATCTCAAGTGGGAGCATGTTCCACCAGGCCCTGGCCCTGGTTGAGGCTAAGTGGACATCTCTTGGGCTGGGGATTTCCAGGAGGTGTTGATTGACGGAGCGCAAGGCTCTCCGCAGCACATACGGGGAGAGGCGGTCCTGCAGATATGCTGGTCCCAGGCCGCGTAGGGCTTTAAAGGTCAGGACCATAACCTCGAATCGGATTCGGTATCCAATTGGCAGCCAGTGCAGCCATTTAAAAACTGCCCAAGATCACTTCAGAACAAGACAAGCACAAAAACACAACAGTTAACATCGCAAAATAGTGTGAAAAAGAGAAAGCAAACTAAGCAGCGGTTAATGGACACAATCTCGTATCGTATAAAAACAGAGCAGGACAAAAATCTAAACATACCGGAGCCATTAGAATTTAACTGTAAAACCAAGAGCTTGTAACAATAAAGAGTGAGGACGGGGAGCCGCAGAGAGGAAGGGCTTCCAGAAAGGTGGTGGTGGAAGGAAATCACGTGTGGAGGGGCCTGAGCTGACCAGCTGCCGCTATAGTCAACCAGCTCTCAAGGCAGTGCAAAGCTCTTCTTTCTTTCTTTCTTTTTATTTATTTATTACATTTTTAATCTCCCCTCCTGGCCAAGGCTGGCTCAGGGCGGCTTACAGGCGGATAAAATTCCCATAATGCAATCATAATAAAATCACATACATTAATAAATACAAAATTCAAACAGTTTTGTGCTAGCAACATTCCTCATATTCCAATTGACTCTTCGGCCTTCTGCAGCTATCTCAGGTCATTGGCACGGGCTGTGCTTGAGGGACCGCCGGGCCAGGGCTCCGCCAGAGTATATATTAATTATTGGCGGTGGAGGTGTTAGTGGCGGGGGCGCCCGAAGCCTGGCGGAGCTCCGTTTTGCAGGGCCCTAGTCTCTTCCGGGAGCTCATTCCACCAGAGTGGAGCCGCCACCGAGAAAGCCCTGGCCCTAGTTGCCACCAGTCTGGCCTCCTTGACGATTGGGAGAGCCAGCCGGTTCTGGGTCCCCGCTCGCAGTGTCTTTCAGGGTCCATATGGGGAAAGGCGGTCCCTGAGGTATGCGGGTTCCCAGTACCAAAGCTGCTATACAGAGTTGGGCTGCCGTGGTTTTTTCTTCTTTGGTGCTATCCTCAACAAACAATTGTGTGCAGAATCCAACTATTTGAACACGAAAGGCATTTGTTTGTCCCTGTGGGGGAGACAGAGCATTTCAGATTGGTGAAGTGGCATGGAGGGGCTCCCCTCCCCTTGTGGTTAGGCTTGCCATTTGCCTGTCTGTGGTGGATCAGCCCCAGCTCTCAGCCCCATTCCCCAGCCCTTGAAACACTGAGGAATGGCAAGGGAGAAAAAAATGCTGGGAAATGACACTGTAGGAATTCCCCCGTTTCTCTATGGTCTTTAAAGGAAAATAATTCCTTGTGTGGTACCCCCATAAGCAACACTCCATTACCCGCAAGCTCTACCCTCCTTTAAAATATCTGAGTGTTGTTGAGGAGGTGCTGGCCCCACTACTTGTGCTGTGGGCCTGACTGGAATCGGTGTTCCTCGCACAGGATGTAAAAAAACACAACAGTGCTGTCAACTCCATTGAAAGATCTCCTAATATAGGATGTGGGTGAGCAGACTCAGTGAAGATGATTTTGCAGCTTCTCCCTGCTTGCTTAAAAATTCACATGAGCTTCGTTGCATGCTACTTACATACCCCTCTCTCATTTTAGGTATTAATTGATAAGGATTGGGTTTCATTTGGTCATAAATTTAACCACAGGTAAGCACGGTTTGATCATTTAGACATTTTTCAGTGCTGTGGCTAACTTGAGTACAATCTTCCTTGTTGCTATTGGAAATCAAATGAAGAGAGTTTTCTGACTAGCTATAGGTTCCATAACTGATATTTTCTAAGCTGTTGGAACCTCTCTGGAATTCACAAAACCAAAATAGGACCCACGGTAAGTAGGAAATACCAAAAATCAGCAAATACCATGCTACAGACGATTACAAAATATCTCAAATAATTTACACACACACACACAAACACACATACACACATATACATACATATATATATATATATATATACACACATATATATATACACATATACATATATATATACACATACACACGTGCTTTTCACTTTGGAGGAAGCTTTGAGCTCACTAAGAGAGACTTTTTGTAGCGTTCATTGGAAAATTTGAATAAATATTTTCTTATTTGGCAACCTTGTGCTTGGAAATATCTGTTGAACTCCCTGAGGAAGACACTGAAACAGGAGGATATCTGGACCTCTGTTGGAGGAAGACTGAGCACTTTTTCACAATAGACTTAAAGGAGTCCTCCCTCTTGGAACTTTTGTATAATTAAGGAGGACTGATATTGGTACAGGGGTTGTGCAATATCTTTTGTGATGTGTTAAGAGACAATACTTAGATGTTTTGTATCAAGGCTTATATGATAAATAATATATGGTGAACCTCTCTGGAGTAGGGTTGCCAAGTCAGAAACTTACCGCAGCGGGGGACTCCTGGCCAGCGTCTGGAGCACACGAAGCGCACATGCGCCGCATGTACGTTACCCGGAAGTGACGCGGGTACGCCGGGCACGCTGGGGGCGGGGCCAGGACCATCCGAGGGAAAACCATAGAGTTTACCCTCGGATGACCGTGGCCTCTGGGGCGGGGGTTTCCCTGCTCCCCGGGGGGACTTGGCAAGCCTACTCTGGAGACATTTTGAACACAGCCAAGCGCCAAAATGAGATTCTTTTGCCCCCTCAGCCTTGAGACTGCCCCTTTTGCCCCAGGCACAGGTGGCAGAGAGGGCAGCAGCAGGAAGGGCAGTGTTGCAAGCGCACTGGTGCAGTGAGGCATGGAGAATGTAGTCCCCACGCTTCCTTGCTCAAATGGACGTTACAAAATATACTTGCAGCAGTATCCAGGCCTCCATTCTTAGGGCTCTGGTTTTCACAAGCTATGTTCCTTTTGCTTTGGTAAAGTAAGTTTGGGAATGGAGCTGCGGTGGCTCAAGCGGTTAAGACGCTGAACTGCAGGCTGCGGAAGGTCGGTAGTTCAGCAGTTCGAGACCCGATTGTGCCGCATGACGGAGTGAGCTCCCGTCTCTAGTTCCAGCTCCTGCCAACCTAGCAGTTCGAAAGCAAGAACTTGCAAGTAGATAAATAGGTACCACTTCGGTGGGAAGGTAACAGCGTTCCGTGCGCCTTGGTGTTTAGTCATGCCGGTCACATGACCACGGAAACGTCTTCAGACAGCGCTGGCTCTTCGGCTTTGAAACGGAGATGAGCACCGCAACCCTAGAGTCGGACTCGACTGGCTTTCGAGCAAGGGAACCTTTACCTTTTGCTTTGGTAAAGTAAGTTTTATACCACACTGTTTTTTGGCTCTGAAGCATTGGCGTATTATACCAGATCCGCCTCTTAAATGTTAATCTCAAAGGCTTGATCCTATTAATTTCTATGTATCGTGCCATATTTCATTTATCATTCCATATCGGGAACTGACCTTTTTTTGGGGTGGGTGGGATTGTTTTAGGTATGGCAACTTAGACGGCGACCCAAAGGAGATCTCTCCAGTTATCGACCAGTTCATCGAATGTGTGTGGCAACTGATGGAACAATTTCCTTGTGCCTTTGAATTCAACGAAAGGTTCCTCGTCCACATACAGCACCACATCTATTCCTGCCAGTTTGGGAATTTTCTGTGCAACAATCAGAAGGAGAGGCGAGAGCTGAAGTAAGGTGGACTTTCCTTTAGACCATAAGTATACACACCCCTTTTCCCTACTTTTATCATTGGGAGACTACTAGGGATCCCAAGTCCCCCCGGGGGGCGGGGAAATCCCCGTCCCAGAGGCCTGTTCCCCAGTGCCGCCGGATTGGGCCCCGGGGGGAACTCCACCCCGACGTGCGCGTCACCCAGAAGTGATGCAGACACGCCGGGCACGGGGCCACGGCCATACAAGGGAAAACTCTATGGTTTTCCCTTGTATGGCCATGGCCCTGCCCCCAGCGTGCCTGGCGTCCTCCCGTCACTTCCGGGTGACGTGCGTGCGGCGCGGCTTCACGCAAAATGCCAGCCGGGAGCCCTCCGCTCCCGGCGAAGATAGACTTGGCAACCCTAGAGACTACAAAAGACAGCTTGTCCCATGGAAATTTCCCCCCTGCCTTTGCAGTCAACATGCCTTCATAGTGAACAGCAAAAGGCTGGGCTTTTAATAGCTCGTTCTCCCTTGTTTAATGGCCATGGTTTGTCCTTGGGTTCCAATCTGGGCATTTAAAATGCGTGTGAAAAATCTCTTCTCCTTCCCCTTACCGCGGGATGAGAGGAAGACAGTAGGGTTGCCAACAGGCCTGAAGAAAAAAATGCCCCGTTCTTTTAATAGAGGCTTAATGATATGGAAACAAGCAGCTGAAGCTTTTTATGGTATGGAGGTAAATGTCACCTGGTAAAAAAACATCCTAAAGCCTCTATTAAAGGGACAGGTCTCCAGGCAGTGGGCAGCCCTCAAAGCCAGTGTTAAGATTACTGTATGGATATGACCAGATGGTTTACAGAGAGCCAGTTTGGTGTAGTGGTTAAGTGTGCGGATTCTAATCTAGGAGAACTGGGTTTGATTCCCCACTCCTCCACTTGCACCTGTTGGATGACCTTGGGCAAACCATAGTTCTGATAAGAGCTGTTCTTGAAAAAGAGCAGTTTCTGTCAGAGCTCTCTCAGCCCCACCTACCTCACAGGGTGTCTGTTGTGGGGAGGGGAAGGAGCTTGTAAGCCGCTCTGAGACTCCTTTTAGTGAAGGGCGGGGTATAAATCCAGTATCTTCTTCTACATATTATATCTGTCATGTGAAGGCTGCTTTAAATTCCTCCATAATAGGGGGGGGGGATCACAGCCATTTCTGAGGGAGAAATGGGGGGGGGGACAGTGTGGCCAGATCTTGAGAAGAGAGTGCATTTGAATTCTACCATTCCTAAATACAGACTTACTTTCTCAATTTACTTGCACCAATGGCTTTTGGAGGGAAAAAGTGTAGCAAAGCAGTTCACAGACTTGCGTTTTAAACCCTCAGGATTCAAGAACGGACGTATTCACTTTGGGCTCATTTGTGGAAGAACCGTGCTGATTATATGAATCCTCTGTATAGGGAAGACTATAACAGGACCTTGAATCCACAGTCGGCTCCTTGGCAGTTTGTTTATAAGTAAGTGAGGTTCTTGTTATTGGATGTTCTTTACCAGAAAGTACTAAGGTAAAATGCCACTGCTCGTGTTCTGTGCTTCATTCCAGTGTATAGACAGATTATGCCATAGAAACGCGGCTTTTTGTTCATTCATTAACTTACCAAATTATTTCTATCCCACTTTACAGAACGCTTAACAGGAGTAACAATAAAATGGCAAAACTCTAAATCATGGTGTTGAACATAAGGCCTGGGGGCCAGAAGTGGCCCATCCGGGGCTCTTAGGCGGCCCGTGGGCAACTAGTGCTGAGGGAGGGAACAGGAGGCTGCTCAGGGGAGTGTCGCTTCAGCATGGCAGAACAGCTTCATCTCCAGCGGTCAAGCAGTGTGGGAGTGTCTGCCGCCCTGTGCTGCACCGCTGGCTCTCGGGTCTCCCCACAGGGGTTTTCCTTTGCACCTTTCTCCCAGCCCAGGGGGCCTTGCAGTGAGGACACACCAACTCAGAGCTCATCAGCTGCTGTCCTTTATCCAGTTTTTCTCTCCAGTACCTGGCATTATGTTTATGGCCCATGTGGCCCGGCCCGACAAAGTGACATTTATGTCAGATCCGGCCCTCGTAACAAATGAGTTTGACACCTCTGCTCTAAATTATAAACAGCCGTCACAATAGTCAATGAAAGCATTAATGTAGCTTTTAGATACATTGAAACAAGTGTGTCCAATTATGTAAATGTCTTAAAAGCGCACATACAGTCATTTCCCCGCCAAAGTTAGAGCAGTTTATATAATTGCAAACTGAAATCTCGCTTTATATGGGTAGGGGCAAAATTTAGCATTCCCCCACCCCCTTTTTATCAGAAGGGTTTTAATGTTGCTTATTGTCTGCTTTACTAAAATAAAAAACTTACATTCAAGACACACCTTAAGCCAGCTGCATGTCTGAGAATGAAGTACGTCCGAAGAGCTTAGGTTTGGCAAAGAAACGAATAATCTGTCAACTGCTACCACTAGCGCTTATCGTGTTACAGGGTTTCTTAAAATAGCTTCTCAAGCCCTTACTAGACTGCTCCATTCTGAATCCATGTCTGATTGTTACTTAACCCAGCCACTGATCTGCTTATGAGCATGCAGTCAACCTCTGACCACATGTAACTGGAGGAATCGGACAGCAGGGGTAGCTACGCCAGGCTCATCCAAGCCATTCCCAGTATTTGTTACAACGTATCCCATTCTCAGAAACAACTTATGTTTATGTCCTAATGGAGAACGGTTCTTTAGCAGCAAACATTTATTTGCACAGAGGACACAGAAGCAGGCGTAGATCAATCGTTCAAGGTTACAAGGTTATATAGAGAAAAGTTGGCCTATAGACTCAGGTGTTTCATCGTCTTAGTTTTAGCACTAGATAATTTGGGGTGTGCTACTGGTGGATTGTAGCCACTGTATACTTTCTGCACTTTGTGAAATTTCTATCATCTGGTTTCCAGTAAGAATGCTTCTTCAATTGCAACATACACCTGTTGAATATAGAAATGGATTTTTACTGCCTGTGTATTTTTCAGGAGAGTTGAAACAATGTTTCTGCAGTAAATCACTTTCCAAAATTACAACAGTAGCTAGAATAAATGCCAACTCACATAGACAGTTAAGAGCTCATTAAGAAAAAGGCTCAAAACAGTACACAAGTGTATTTCTTGGGAATATTTGTATTGTAACTCAGTTCGTTTCAATGGAGAATGGTGCATACAAAAGAGAGAGTGTGTGTAGAGCCACTTCCTCCTATTAAATTTACACGGTGGGCTTTGTGAGGGCGTCAAGAGCCATCATATCCCCAAGAATTTTCACATCCCAATAGGGTGGAGAGAGTGTGTGTAGAGCCACTTCCTCCTGTTAAATTTACACGGTGGGCTTTGTGTGGGCATCAAGAGCTATCATATCCCCAAGAATTTTCACATTCCCAATAGGGTGGCCAAAAGTCCTGGAGAAAAATGCCCTGTCTCTTTAATAGAGTTGTAGTGGGCAGAAATGGGCAGCTGAAGCTTTTCATGGTATGGAGGTTAAGTATCCTATTAAAGCCTACGTTAAAGGGACAGGGTATTTTTTTCTCCAGGCAGTTGGCGGACGTCCACTTCCAAATCGGAGTGTGAGAACTCCCCCCCATCCTTCCTAGTGCTGTCATGCCTTATGTTAACATTTTTCATTCTCGCATATATATGTTTTCTTTCCAGGTTCTGGAGTGGAATGTACAACCGTTTTGAAAAAGGTCTGCATCCTCGGCAATCTGTGACAGAATACCTTATGGCGGTAAAGGAAGAAACACAGCAATTAGAAGAAGAGCTGGTTGTCTTAGAAGAGGTATGAATCCTTGGGCTGGAATCCGAAGTCACGCTTCTGCTTGAGTGGGGTGCCCCTCCACTGTGGGGTACGTTCAGCCAGCGCTCGGGGCTTCCGTGCATGACAGATCAGTGTCTTTCAATGAGCCAAAAAAGCACCTTGGGGCAGAGGAAAGTGCTGCATAACAGAGAACTGCCCCTGCACTGAAGAGGCCACAGACAGATGGGCAGATCTGAGGTTTGGCTCACCCACGGTTGTGACTGTTGAAAACGGTACATTCTTCTTCTGGATGTGTTACCGTTACGAACGTATTAGAGAGCAGCCAACCAAAATGAGCATCATAAAGGGGAGGAGTCTAAAGGGGGGGATAAATTTCTCAGGCTAAAGGTTATGTTGCCTGGAAAAACCAGGCAGTCTCCTAAATCTCCACTGCAGTTTTGTCTCACTGTTTCCCTCTGCCAACAGTCTCTTCCAATGCAGTTGCTGTTATTGTACAGGTTTCCCCTACGTACGATATTTCTGTAGTTATGTAAATGCTAACTAGGGAATGAATTCTTGTTTCTCAACTTGCAGAGACTGGCAAAGCTTACAAAAGTGCGATTAGATAATGGTGAGACGACACAGCAACAAAATGGAATCAACGCGTTACAACTTTCTACCTCTAACGACAGCATAGCTAACACGCCCCAGGATTACATTGGTAATCTGAAGTCATTTCCCTCTCGGAGTACTTCTCAGGGAGATGAAGAAGATTCAGCTCTGATTCTTACACAAGATAATGTGAAAAGCTCGGATCCAGATCTTTCAGCCAACAGTGATCAGGAATCAGGTGTGGAGGATATGAGCTGCCGGTCCCCAAGTGGAGGAAGTTGTTTGCCCAGTGAAGATAGCGCCAAAGATCGTGATTCAGATGACGCTGTTTGTCTCACTGTCTGAAACAGTGTTGGCTGGCAGGTGATAAGACTGTTTTAGAAAAAAGACTGTCCAAAGAAAGGGAGTAGTGCAATTGTGCAGTTTAATAAAAAGCCAGGTGTAATGAAGTCATAAGCTAGAACGTCAGAATGGGAAGTCATCTCTCACATTTAGAATATTCATGCCTTTACTGAATTACTTCATCTTCCCTGGATCCTTTGCAGAGCTGTACAAAATGAAAGCTTTATATTTAACTTACAATTATTTATTCATATTATGTGTTTAGTAAGCAATGGGACCCATCCCAAAAGGTTCAAGAGGAGCGTTCACCAATATAAATCATTCCCCAAAAAAGCTCCACCAAAAATACTGGAATCAAGAAAATGGTTAGAATCATATCTCTTCCTGATTTTGATTAGAAGAATATCTTTAGCAGATTCAGTAGTTCGCCATTAAATTTTTTTGCTAAAGATAAAACACTGGATCAATTTAAACTTTCCTGGATCTATCTTACTGACGGTTGAGATACGACCAATTTTGTATTTACACTATAAGTATATCTCTATTTTATAACTGAGGAGCTGCGGTGGCTCAAGTGGTTAAGACGCTGAACTGCAGGCTGTGGAAGGTCAGTAGTTCAGCAGTTCGAGACCCGGGTGCCGCATGACGGAGTGAGCTCCCGTCTCTAATTCCAGCTCCTGCCAACCTAGCAGTTCGAAAGCAAGAAATTGCAAGTAGATAAATAGGTACCACTTCGGTGGGAAGGTAACAGCGTTCCGTGCGCCTCGGTGTTTAGTCATGCCGGCCACATGACCATGGAAACGTCTTCGGACAGCGCTGGCTCTTCGGCTTTGAAACGGAGATGAGCACCGCAACCCTAGAGTCGGATTCGACTGGCTTTTGAGTAAGGGAACCTTTACCTTTATTTTATAACTGAGGCTTCCTCAAAGAATCTGAAAAATTGTATCGTGAAGGTACCAAGAACGCATCTGTGAAAGATCCCTGAGCACCCCCACAGAACGACATTTCCTAGGGGGCCAGGGGAATGGCTGTTTGATCAACTTAAACCGAAGATACTAATGTTGCTATAAGGCGGAAAATACCAACATACACACACACACGCACCTGTCTCTGTGCCACTCTTCGGTCCCCTACTTGTACATGGCCCTTTTCTTGTGCATTAGGGAGCAAGATTCTCTCCCACCACGTTTGCCATTTTGTAGGTTTGCCTACACCCATTGTCGAGGCCTTTAAAGATCATCACATTAGAATTTTAACAAACTCGCCACAGGGATGTCTAATGTCGTCAAACTATTATGTCTATAGATTGATGTGACTTTTAAAAAAATAAATCCTATACAGACAGATGTTGGTTATAGCATGATCTTTCTGTTTAATCAGGTGTGTGTGTGTCATGCCTTTTTTCTACCAACTGAGGGGGCCCCACACAGCCTCTCATGATTTCGGGGGGACTAGGTTTGTTTTAAACTGTAAACCTTTCCCCCAGTTACAAGTTGTTTTTAGGATAGCAGGTGTAAAAGGCTTTGGACTTGCTGTCCCGAGGCAGGTTTTGCGGTGAGCAAGAAGAACAGTGATCACTGAGGCAGGAGTTGTATATGAATAACTAAGTAGTCAGCCGAAAAACCTGTCGATTGATTGTTTCCCGTTAACTGTGCGCTCTAGTTTCTAAGTTATTAAAGATTTGAATTTACTCATGACGTTTGGGTGTGAATGGACTGCCTAGAGAAATTCTACCCACATTTCACCACCGGATGCCTTGCCTTGCTCCTTGGAGGGAGACAGCCCTAAAAAACTACACAGGACAGGCTGAAAGATACAGTCAGAGTGGAGAACAGCTCCCACACCTCTTTCTCTCACACGCAGCCCCTACACTTCTAGTGTACAAAAGAGCCAGTATAAAAGCATAAAAGGGGGGAAGGGGATTCTCATGCCTTAACACCAGAGTAACAATCCCAGGCAAAGCGGGATGGGATGTGGTGGGTGGGTTTCCTTGGTTCTCAGCAAACCTCAGCACAGGAGGAGAACCAAGCAGGCTGGTTGTGACTCTGCCTCTTGCAGGAGACATCGGTTTCCCTCCCGAGCTATACCTTGGGGTTTCCTATTCCCCAAGAACGGCGTTTCAGCAGCCATGCTAGGCTGCTGCAGAAGAGGGGGAATTAGAGAAAACCATCCCCCTCTTGCACCCATGGAAATTCTAGGCGGTATTCATGTCCATTGCAGTAAATAAGCATTAATGTGGGACACGTCATCTGTACAGGAAACACTATCACGGCCTGTTGCTCCATGCCAGCATTTTAAAGATAGCCCAGAACCACCTGCCAAACACAAGCCCTGCTGTGCAAGGACTGTGCCCCCTTTCCTGAAACATGAGGCAAATGTCACATTGGGGAACAGTCCTCAGAAGAGCCTTAGGTGGCATGGCAAAGAGCCACCAAGTATCACTGCTGTGACGCCTATGGCTACTGCATGGCCCTTAATGACCAGATCCAGCTGTAGTCAGATCACACCTGGCAGGCCTGAATGCAGACGCACAGGTGCATTCACGTAAAAACATCCAGCCATTCAGAAGGGTGTGGATACACATTTCCATGCTGATGGAGAAGCGCATCTGAACAGAGGTCTACAGTCACAATGAAGCCAGGTGCAGGGGTCTTTCTTGCTTGTTTGGAATTTTTTAAGCAAGTTATTGGGAGTTTTAAGGTCATTAGGTATAGATTTTCTGGGCTGCATGGCCGTGGTTTTAAGGACCTTTCAGTTTAATTGTACTTTTTTGGCCGTCAAGTCACATCTGACTTATGGCGACCCCGTAGGGTTTTCAAGGCAACAGACATGCAGAGGTGGCTTTTCATGCCTGTCTCTGCATAGCCAGCCTAATACTAGCTGGGGCTGACCCTGCTTAGCTTTTGAGATCTGACAAGAACAGGCCAACCAAGGCTATTCAGATCAGAGTATCGTTTACTAAAGAATTTGTATTCTACCTTTGGTTTTTATTGTTCTCTACCTCTCGGATGGATGTACTGAAGTCGCATAGGGTGTAACAGTCTGGAGCACTGTTCCCTCTAAGCTGAGTTAGTGTGAGCCAGCTCAGAGTTTTTTAGCCTCCGGCTCACACATTTGTGTCTCAGCTCAGGAAGGGAGGACTCCAGAGCAGACTAATTTAATGCAGTAGCCAAATCGCTGGCTCACAACTTTAATCCCAGCAGCTCACAGAACAGAATTTTTGCTCACAAGACTCCACAGCTTAGAGGGAACATTGGAACTCTCCCTCAAATATTAGGTATATTTGCAATTTCTTCTTCTTCTAGAAAACGAAGGCATTTATGCTTTAGATTACATACATGGGTCCAACAGCCCTATTTTATATGCTGTTATAAATTTATGTATTTTAAATTTAAATTTCCTCCAATGTTTCAGAACACCCTCCCCCCATGGTTTCAAAATTTCCAGCAATTTTCCATCTCCACTGAAGAAGGTGTAAGCACATGCAGGCTGCCCCCACACAAACTGAACCGGGAGACAGATGATCAAGAAGCTTATACAGATGTAACATGCTATTTATGTACTAGAAATAAAGGAATTCTGGGAAATATTGGAGCTGACTCTAGTGAAAGAGGAAGCCCACCTTTTATTTTTCAAAATAATATCCAGAGGCATGACAGAATCCTTGAATATAAGGCTACGGATTTCAAACTGTGGTGGTTTCAAACTGTACCTAGCAATTATTTTGCATCCTGGCCTGACTTCAACTTTAGCACTCAAGAAATTTTCAATACTAAGGTAATATGCCAATTTCAATTGTTGTATAACCCATACGTTTTTATCCATTATCAGACGGGAATAACCCAAGCTATATTTAGCTGCCACACTGGCAGAAACGGGAAGGCGATTAATGGCATCACAATGACCACTTGGCTTTGTGTGCCACAGGAACT